CTTAAGTACAGCGCTGTATGGATACGCTGTGCAATGGTCCGTAGTAATTAATTAAACTAATCGTGCTTCAATAAACTCAAAATTACAGAGATTATATCTAAGACATGTGTCTATGTGTATCTAGATTTCTAGAAATGTAACTCAAATCGTTCGCGCCATATGATAGTTTAATTGTACACTTTCTTACCGGCCATAGCCGTGCGTATATTAACCTGTGCGATACCGCGCGTAGATACTTGCTAATTAATTAAACCACTCGCGCTTCAATAAACTCAAGAATCACTGAGATCATAGATAACACATGTGTTTATATGTATCTAGATTTCTAGAAATGTAACTCAAATCGTTCGTGCCATATGATAGCTTAATTGTACACTTTCTTAGTGTAAACACAGCAGCCAGTCATTTTGGAAGAATAATGACAACTGTAATTCACAAGATAAATGCGTTCCACTCTGTGTTGCTCCCCCAGATGTGTAAGTATTTACGAAAGTTTGGTCGCGCTATGCGTTTCAATTAAGGGCCGAGTTATTAGGAGCGGAAGGGAAATCATGATCAAGATCTGATCAGGTAAAGCGTCAGAATAAGGTAGTAGTGACCTGGTTTTGGTAGCGCTAGGTCAAATTAGGCCGAGTTATAGAGCGAAAGGGAATATAAAATCAAGGTTCAAGGTAAAGGTCAAATAAAGGGTCGCAAGTAACGTTTTGGTACGCTGCACACCTTCTCCCCAAGATGTGTAGTATACGCAAGTTTGGTAGAGCTAGGGTCAATTAGGGGCCGAGTGTATAGAGCGAATAGGAAATAAAATCAAGGTCAAGGTAAAGATCAAATAAAGGTCGCAGTTAACCTGGTTTTTGGTACGTGCCCACCTTCTCCCGAGATGTGTAAGTAGACCAGTTTGATCACGCTAGGTCAATTAGGGGCCGAAGTTATAGTAGCGGAAGGGAAATATGGATCAAGTCAAGGTAAAGGTCAAAATAAAGGTCGCCAGTGACCTGGTTTTTGGTACGTGCCACCTTCTCCCGAAGATGGTGTAAGTAGTACCAAGTTTGGGTCACGTAGGTCAATTTAGGGGCCGAGTTTATAGAGCGCGAAGGGAAATATGATCAAGGTCAAGGTAAAGGTCAAATAAAGTCGCGAGTGACCTGGTTTGGTACGCTGCCCCACCTTCTCCCGAAGATTTGTAAGTAGACCAAGTCTTGGTCACGCTAGGTCAATTAGGGGTTCGAGTTATACGAGCGGTAAGGGAAAATCTCTGCGCGGACCGAGCTTGGCGGCGGCGGCGGGCTGTACAGACATGAAACACATGCGTCTAAAGAGAGAATTGCTCCGACCTTGTGATTTTGGAGGATAAAAATAGACCCGCCCACTTTTCCATTTTTGGAGGATAAAAACTCGGAATTCTGACGTTTTCTTTTTCACCGGTCCAGTCCCGCGCAGTGCATTTATTTGCTAATTAATTAAAACTAATCGCGCTTTCAATAGACTCAACATTCACCGAGATTAAGGCTAGCATGCTGTCTATAATAGCTAGAATTTATAGAAATGTAACTGAAATCGTTCGCCCATCATGATAGTTGTACACGTTTCCTACCCGTCATAGCATAGCGTATGCGGCGGGAGGTGGGCGGGTGTCTATTTTTCTCCTCCAATCACAGGTCGGAGCAATTCCTCGTGTTTGACGCACGTCATGAACCATAGTATCCTGCCGACTTCGTCGAGGGAGATACAATTATATGTGCACAATGCCATCTGTCATGATGCTATCACAGAGACAGTCTTTGTTCGTCTGCCGCAGGTGACAGGCGCTTGGACGCAATGCTCTCATCACGTGACCGCACGACTTTTCACACACGGGGCGTTTTACGCACGGATAGATATTTCTCTCAATCCGTCTTCGATGCGATCGGATCGATGCGATGCGGTGTAAAGCCGCACGTCAGCGTGCACCAGCAAACCGCTGTCCATCACCATGTTTGCTATGTCTGTGTTCACACACACGCACGCACGCACACGCACGCACACATACATATACACAGACACGCACACACGCACGCACGCACGCACGTACGCACGCACGCACGTACACACACGCACACGCACACACACGTACACACATATGTAGTACGGTGTTTTAGCTAACAGAAAGAGAGAGGGGGAATTCGTCACATTACCCATGCAATTGTTCAGGGACGGCCGCGATGGGCAGAAGACATTAGCTGCATACTTAAGAGTAGACATAATTAACGGTGGACAGAAGGCATTTCAAATAATTAAATGGTCACACAGACACGAACACACACACGCACGGCAGTGTATATACACACACGCACGCACGTGTTATACTAGGGGCTAGAATATTAGAATAATAGAAAGATTTACCAGGTGTTAGAATAAGAATAATAAAAATATTTATACTAGGTGTTAGAATTACAATAATGATATAACGGCTTAAAGCTAGCACGCACGCACGCACGCACACACGCACACGCACGCACACACACATACACACATACATACACACACCACACGCACGTCACCAAGGCGCCCCTTCCCGATCCCCCTCCCCTTCCTCGCACGTTTCCCTTCCAGCCTTATTACGCATGTGTTTGCGACACTAGCCGAATTCCTTGTTTGGTGTGTCGGACGGATAGAAGGTCCAACCGCACGAAATTAATGTACTGGACTCTATGCTGGATTAATGGGGAACTTGGCAACCTCAAATCATAGCAAGAGCGCGTCGAGCAAGCAGCATATTAGCGAGGTATACAGGCTAGAAAGAACCAGGTAAGATAAAATAATAAAAGATTTATACGAGTTAACCGGTGTTAGAAATTAACAATAATGATATAACGGCATTAAAAGCTAGCCAGCTTTTTGTTTAATAGTATGAACGACCGAGCAGCTTTATAGGTTAGGAGAAACAAACCCTTGCCCTCCATAGACCCGACCTTAGCATACCGAGTAGTTTATCAAGTATGGAATCAATCAATCAATTCAATGTTTACTGGAAGGTACTGTTATCGGAGAAGGCAAAGGAAACGAGAGGAGAAAGGGTAGAGGAGGCCAGGGAGGAAGAGAGGAGGAGAGGGCGGAAAGGGTCAAAGTGGTAAGGGAAGGGGAAGGGGGAGGGGGAAGGCTATGGGAGTTGAAGAGGGGGTAAGGGAGATGGATGGGAGAGGCATTAGAAGGAGAAAATGGGGAGGGGGAATAAGAAAGGGAGAAGCAAATGCGAAGGAGGGACGAAGAGGGATAGAGAAAGAATCTATATAAGGTTAGTCTACCAAATATCGGGTTTCAGAGCTGAAAAGCGGACTTAGCAGTTCCGGCGTACACATTTTTACCTTAGGTCTTTTGAAGAATACTTATTTTTCCTGGTTATTCTGTGATAAATCTTTGCTATGCTGATAACTTAGTCTTTCTATATCGCTTAATGCTTCCGCTACTCCCTCATCCTCGTTATTAAGGAACTGTTAACGCGACACACTGGAACAGCTATGCTAATCTCGCAACACAGCATTATATGCAATTTGTTAATGTTGTCTAAACGTCTCTACCACAGTCTCTCACTAGGATATCATTTGCTGTTTCGGCAAATAGCTTGCATTAGATGTTTTGCTATGTAATTAGTGAGTAGAAAAGATACCGAGCTTCCCTGGCAGCGTTCCCTGTGTTCCGTTGATTTTCCATGACAGATGTTTCCATTTCTTCTAGTTGCACATGTTAAGATGACACGTTGCAGCCCTACTCTATAGTCAGCTGACAATCTTCTGGGAATATTCACTATTTGATTCTGATTGCCCCTTCGCTATCATTTGCATATGACATCCGGCCGCCCATTCCCGACCTCAATACTTTCAAGATTCAAGATGTATTTTTTATGGCAATAGGCACTGGCTTCCCCCCTCACAATCGTTTCACCACGCCCGATGAGGTTCATCCCCATTCATCATTCTTAGAGAGGATCCCACAGTAGCAAATAAGTCATCCCCAGCGAGTAGGTTGAACTTTCCTGCTGAAATGTTACTTCACGTGTTAGACGTGTAGCGTCGTAGCGTTGCATTGCATGAATTGCGCCAGCATGGCATTACATGCCAGCGCAATGTAAACGAGTAATGGAAGCTACGTGATGCAAGCGTAACAAGACTTCACTAGTCTCACTAGTCCATGTCACAGCACAGACACAGGCACAGAACACAGGACACAGACACAGACAGGTCACAGTTCACATACAAGAACGCGCAGTTACCACATTAGGGTCCGCGTTGTCATAGCGGACCCGAAGTGTGCCTTATCTACGCAGGACTGTAGTATAGGGGGGAGGGCTGACGTCACCAACGCCCCTCAGGACCTGTAGTATAGGGGGAAAGGCTGACGTCACCTCCCTCAGGACCTGTAGTACATAGGGGGAGGGGCCTGACGTCACACATTCACTCAGGCCTGTATGTATAGGGGGAGGGGGATCTGACGTCACCTCCCTCAGGACCTGTAGTATAGGGGGAGGGGGCTGACGTCACCTCCCTCAGGACCTGTAGTATAGGGGGAGGGGGCTGACGTCACCCTCCCTCAGGACCCTGTACAGTATAGGGGGGAGGAGCGGGGACCTCCCTCAGGACCCTGTCAGTATATGGGGGGAGGGGGCTGATGGTCGACCTCCCTCAGGACCTGACAGTATAGGGGGGGGGGTGGGACCTCCCCAGACCTGTAGTATACGGGGGAGGGGGCTGATTGTCCACCTCCCTCAACGAGCCTTGTAGTAAGGGGGGGGGAGGGGGCTGACCGTCACACTCCTCAGGACCTGTAGTATAGGTGAGGGAGGGGCGGACCTCCCTCAGGACCTGTAGTATAGGTGAGGGAGGGGCGGACCGCCCTCAGGACCTGTAGTATAG